AAGAGGGACCCCCAATCACGGTGACTATTAGTAGTGAATAAGTTCCTGAAATGATCATCCACCGTACATCTGATACCCCGTTCATCCTTCATCCACTGACCATTGGCATTCCTAATTTTTGCAATCATATTTTATCTCCTTCTTTGAACAATAGATTGATGAAAAAAGGAAGTATTGGAGTCATCAGCTTGCAACCACCTGATTCGAGATCTTTGTTGCCAATACAGTTCCTCTTGCACCTCCAGCCTGTCAACATGCGCCAATGTATCCTTTATTTGCTTCATACTTTCCTCCCAATCCATTTGGAGATCCCCGAGTTTTGTTGTGAGATTCGCAATTTCCAACCTTCTAGCCTTAAACTTGTCTCTACTCCACTCCACTAGATTTTTTTACAAGTTTCTAGTTTTCTTCTCCATTTGTATCCCCAGCACCCATCAACTAGAGTCTCCCAACTTATTTCCACCACTTCCTACAGCCCTCTTCTTTAACCCAGAAAGCTTCAAAGCGAAATGAGGGTTTCTCACGTGGCCTAGCATGATTAGTTAAAACAATCAGGGGGCAATGACCAGACCCCTGGACTGTCTCATAGATGAAATTCGTGTGAGGCCAGAGCTCCTGCTAATGGCCATGAACCAAGCCTTTATCCAATGTTTCTTAAACCAATTGGTTATTCTGAATGCCCCTCCACGTGAATCTCAGATTGCTAAATCCTAAATCAATTAGAACCAAATTTGACATGAAGTCCTGCAGATATCGAGGCCTCAAGTGTGATCCCTCACATCCTCCCAATTTCTCAAAATCCCAGAGGTATTCATTTAAGTCTCCCTCACAAAACCAAGGTTGGTCTGAATGTTGTAACACAACCATAACCCACTTCCAAAAGTCCTCATTCTCAGCCCTATAAGGGTTTCCATACATCCACGAAGCCTAAATCCAATCACAAACCCCTATACTTCTTATCTCTGTGTGGATCAAATTTTTTGAAGGGAGTTTCACATTCACCTCCACATGATCATTCTAACCAAAGGCTTAGTCCCCATGCGGCACCATTAGGCGGAACATCAAAGCCCTTATTAAAGCCCATTCGTCGTCTGACTCTTTCTATTCTATGGTTTTTCTTTTTATTTTTAATAGAAAAACCATAAAGGGTTTATGTTTCCTTATGAGCCCATGTAGAACTTGAACCATCGTGTCCGACCTAAGACCACAACAGCTCTACATGAGCTATATCATGGCGATTGTGCAGCTATCATAGGTCAGCCGCCACTTGTCTTGGGGTGCTTTCCCTTTCTTCCTAGTTATAATAGGGTCAGACTCATCTCTTTCATTTCCTTCGGCTGATGTCCACACTTCCTCCTATCAAACAAGTACCTCTTAGAGGTCTTTTTCATCAAATGGCTTACGCTGCCCACCCATTCCGCTAGTCTGATTTCCTGCACTGCTTTTACGCTCTCTCCCGCAACCCTTGGAAATCCTTACCACTCATTCTGTTGTTTTTTTGTTAGTGATTGACATGCATTAGTGATCAGGCCTTCACCTATTCTCTTCAATCCCAACCCCTCGTAGAGTTTCTCGATTTGTTTTTTACCTACAGTGTCCTAGGTGCTTTGTGCCTCAATGGTAAAGGTTGAGCTCTGTTGGGGCAATGGATCACTTTAATTCCTTCCAATCATAAGTGTGTTTTGTCGTCCTACCTAGGTGCCCCTAAATTTCCTGTTATGTCGTATTGGCATGTCTAATGTTTCACCTCCGAACTCTTGGATTACAACCTCATTAGATTGGGCCACATTATCCATTCTGAATATGTGCCATACAGGCCTTTACCTCGACCCATTTCCTTCAATTATTTGTTTAAGCCCATGTGGGGTTGTTTCCCCAACGGGCATGTGGTAGGCTCCACTCTGAGATGTAAACCTACTATTTTCATCTATGGAAGTATGAAGAGCATACCTCGTGCTTTGAACTTGCACATGCATCTGGTGAAGATCGTAAGACCCACTAGGCACTAGGGTACTTTGCCTAGGCCCTTCCTCACGCGTGTGATTTCCTATCTCTTGAGCACTGGTTCTTTGCGTGGGTTTAAACATTCCTAGATGTCGACGTTCGATGGGCTATGTCCTTCTCGGTTATGGTTCCTCTTGTTCCTCCATGATCATTTTTGCTTTAGTCCATTCCCTATACACCAAACCACATCCCTCGCCTTACTCAGAGGAGCATTCCCTGTCCGAGTGACCGATTTTCCCACGTTTATAGCAGAAGTTTTGTAGGCGTTCATAGCTAAATTATATTCATGTGTCTCTATCTCTATCCCTAAGGAGCCAACACTCAGCCACCAACAGGTTTTTAGTATATTTTGACTCGCAAGAATCTTCTTGCTTTAGCCAGATCCTCCATTACAATGAAATCTCCCACCTCCCCAGCAAGTCTCATGGCGTTCTCCTCCGTACTTAAGAACAAAGGTACCTCTTTCATTTGTACCCAAAATGGGACCATCTGTGCTGGAACTTCCTCTACAGCCAAATCATTAGGCCATCTCTTAATCGAGAAGTTTTGTTTCATCATAGCCCATGGAACCTGGTTAAAAATCCGAGAGGCTGTCTCTTCATGTTTGACGATGATGATGAACATGTTATCCTTCACCCAGTTAATCGTGACCTCTCCTAAATCTTTCCGCACACTTCAGAGTAAACCTGTAAACGGGTCGGGTTTATTGGGTTTGGGTCAGGTTCAACCCGACCCGTTAATTTAACGGGTCACCTGAACCCAACCTGTTAAGCTAACGGATCATCCGTTTCAACCATTAACCTTTTTTTTTTTTTTTTTTTTTTTTTTTAACATTTCATCCAAATCAATTATAGCCCCATTTGTCAATATCCTCGAAGATTTCCTTGAGCTTGAAGCGCTCATTGGTCTGTGCATTTGACATAACCGCGGCGGAAACGATGGGGAGCAAACCCGGCATTTTGTTTTGCTTCGATAGGATTGAGGGCTTCGAGAGCCTCAAGGTGGAGAGCGATGAGCATCTTAACTCTTAAACCTGTGAATTGTTAAGCTAGAGACGCCATGGTTGTCTCTCTCTCTCTCTCTCTCTCTCTTTGTTCTTTTGTGTTGCTTTGCTTGCAGTGTGGCTTTTGAGGAAGTCGAAAGCATAATTTGGACAGAGAAAGAATAATTTGCACAACAAAAGTAAAAAATGAAATAAAAGGCGGAATGGAATCAGAGCTTACCAGAGAGAGTGGTGGAGTTCAGTAAAAAAAATTAGGGAATAAGATGAGGGAGATAACCAGAGTTAGAAGGAAAGGAGCACACCTATCTCTTAGAGAGCAACGACGTACGCAAGAGAGAATGGAGAGGGACTGAAGGCTTTCTATTAGGACCATTGAAATTACACATAACGGGTGAAACAGATGGTTAACGAGTTTCACGGGTTCGCCCAAAATGAACCGTTATTTAACGGATAATTAACGAGTTGATCCATTAATCACCCAACCCGTTTATCACTCACCCGGAAACTAATTTTAACGGGTCGAGTTGAGTCGGGTTGAAAATGCCAGGTCTACTTCAGATATATTTCTTACTCCCCATTTGTTGAGCTTTTGGTCCGCCAGTACCGCACCGACCATCTTCACTCCTTGTTCCATGGTCGTTAACTCAAGAGATCCTTCCAACTGTGCCACTAATTCATCCACCGTCGTTTGTGCCATCACTGTAGATTCTCTTCTGATTTTTGCTTCCCACCAACCCAAATCTTCCAAAAGAATTAACTTTTTGTACCCCCAACAACCCAGCTGCAAAGTCTGGATTTTTATCAGATGGTTAAAATTCTTGAATCCTAGACACAAGCATAGCCAGAGAACAGATCTGAAGGCCAGGAACACCAGTAATTTTGGAATATTGGCCCGCTTGTTTTGGGTTCCTTTGTTGTAACCAGATCTGGAATTAAATGCTTCTCTTCCGGTAGTTAGCTATCTTGTCGAAGGGGTTGTGTTTCCTGGTAGTTTTAACTGTCTTTCCCCCAACAAATTCGCCATTAAAGCACTTCTATCCAGACAATAACTCAGTTCGTAGTGATTGAGGTATGTACTAGGTAATCAATTTTCAGATTGGGACGGTGGGTAGGAGCATTCAATGCTCAGATTGGAAATTGATTAGGAAAGTATCTGGTAGAGAGAAAGCTCTCACAGCGGAGAGAATTGATCAACTGGGGTTTTGAATACATGTTGTTTTTGTATTGAAATCTTATATTTGCCCTTCTCATAAATGAAATATGTCGATCTCTTGGTTAAAAAACAAAAACACAGACAACAATCAAGCAAATTCATTTGAAAAGTAAAAAATTTGACCTACCAAATGGAGATATTTTAAGATTGAAAGCGATTTTCTTGTTTGTATATATCATATAAATTCATTTGCAAAATAACAAGAGGAGCTTGGCTCCTTAAGGTTGAGTAGTAGCTGCTCCTCTTCAATTTATTTATTTAGTGTTTGATTTGATTCACAAAAGTTTGTATTTATAATCGTAATCATTTATATTATAAATCATTTAAAAAAATAATTTTTACAAAAAATAATTAAAATCATAGTCGTTTAGCCAACCAACAATAACAAATAGGTAAACAATTTATAATTGTTTTAGCGAATTCGTCCATTTGTTTTTGTATAGTTTAATAGTTAAACGATCTTTTATATATATATATATATATATATATATATATTTTTTTTAAATAATTTTAATAAAATAATTTATAACATTAACGGTCCACCTATAAAGCTAAAGTTTCATAAATCGGTCACGAAATAGAATAAGAAAGAATTCATTCTCAACCACGAGCCAAGTTAATTTCATTAAACAATCCAACAAGGTGAAGGCTCCGATCTCGTTGCATCCACAATTTACAACACTTTTACACTTGTATTAAAAAAAAAAAAAAACAAAACAAAACAAAACAAAAAAAAAAAAAAAACAAAAAAAAACTGCCAAAAGTACAAAACCTGCCCATTTGTATTTTGGGCAATTCTAAGGCTGAGAAGCGAGTGAGGATAGCCCAAAAAGAAAAGCCACCATGTTCTGAGTAGCGGCAACCAAATCCCCCTCTCCTTTTGCCGCAAATCAATCAGAACAATGTCCATTTCCATGACCTTGTTTTCTCCCACAACCCATCTCCCAACCCTCTCTCCTTCCCCCTCATCACACTTCAAACCCCTCCTGACCCACAAGCCTTATCTCTCTCTCAGACCCAAGAACCTCCTCAGAGCCTCAGCTGAGAATGGAGCTGGAAGCTCAGCTGCCACTACCGTCGAGCCCAAAGCAGAGCCCGATGTCCCGGAACCCGGCGCCAAGGCGGTTCCCTTGAAGAGTGAGAGCTCTGCTGGGGCTAACGGGTCAGCTGGACCAGCTGAGGAGGTGACGGTGGGGAATTTGTTTGCAGATGGGAGATGGGTCAATGGGACTTGGGATTTGAAGCAGTTTGAGAAAAGTGGCAAAACTGACTGGGATGCTGTTATTGATGCTGGTATGGCTTCTGGATTTTTTTCCTTTTGTTCTGTAATTGTCTAATTCTTTAATTGTTCCTTGTTTAGCTCTTGCAACTGTTTGATTGAGGGGGAAACATGATTATGCTGGATTTAGAATGTTTGTGTAGACCGGGGGGAATATCTGCTGAATTTGCAAGACACAAGTGGTTTAATCTGATTTCTGAACTTGCACGTTAATTTTAGAGCTAATAAACTCATGAGTTTTCCTCCCCAAATGTAACTTAGATGAAGAAATTTCTATGAAGTTGCCAAGAAACTGAATTGGCTTTGTCTTAGTGCTTCGTCGAAATCCTTTGTCTCAGACTGTTCTATTTACCTTGATCCTCAAACTTGTGCTGCTTCATTTTCTTATGTTGGTTTTGGTGTTCATAGATGGTTGTGTGCTCAGTGTGCACTCGTTCCCTTGTTTCTCAACCAATACATGTTTTCGGGCTTCATTTGGGCATCGGAAACTGTAAGGAAAAGAAATCGTTCACTTCAGAAGTTGGGTGTTATTTCTTCAGGATTTACGCATTCCTCGTTCTAAAGAGTTCTTAGATCCTAAGCATGACCCAAATTTCTATATTAGCTTTATATTATTTGAGAATAAGATCTTCTATCCAAGTCTTTTGTTGATTCTTTTTGCAGTAGAGCATCAATTTCCGCCCAAATAGAATAGGATTTAATGTACATCTTTAGATGCTTGTGCACCCTTGTATTTACCTAAACAATTTTGTGAATTTCCGAGGTTTCAGTTTACAAAGAAGAAAAACAGCCGAGATGAATCTGTGATTCGTTTGAAGTATTCCTTTGACAAATAACCTGTTATCTGAACTTGTTATCTTTCCTGATAATTCAGAAAATACATGTTTTCTAATGCATCACCATTTTCAGAGGCCAGGAGGAGAAAATGGCTCCAGGACAACCCGGAATCATCCAGTAATGAGAACCCTGTGTTTTTTGACACATCCATTGTACCTTGGTGGGCATGGATAAAGAGATACCATTTACCTGAAGCTGAACTACTTAACGGTCTGTTCAGATCCACTTATTTTAACTGAAGTGTAATGAAGGAAGAGGACATACTCTAAACTAACATACTTTCTGTAATTTTATGAGTTTCCTGCAGGACGTGCTGCTATGATAGGTTTTTTCATGGCGTATTTTGTTGATAGCTTGACCGGACTTGGCCTAGTTGACCAAATGGGCAATTTCTTATGCAAAACATTGTTGTTTGTAGCTGTTGGGGGAGTGCTTCTGATCCGCAAGAACGAGGATGTTGAAAACCTAAAGAAACTACTCGAAGAGACGACGTTTTATGATAAGCAATGGCAAGCAACCTGGCAGGACGAGACCCCGGCTAGCAGTAGCAAGAATAAGTAGTTGAATTGTTGATGTTGAGTTTGGACTTTTGAATTAGGTTGTTTTCTTCTTTATTCCTTCGGGATTCTATGTTATATCTATGTGCTAGTGGATAATGAAGATTCTGTGTTCAACCACTGTATTTTGGTCCCCTTTGTTAGTACCTGTGTGTTTACATTGACAAGTTTGAAATTTTCGGTAAATCTGATTTCCTTGTTAAATAGAGTGGCGTTCCACGAGGGGAAAATGAGATTGTATTGTTGGGAATGAACCCTTACCACGACATTGAGTTCACTGTGATAAGCTTGCAATACCATTACCGTCATGTTTTAGTTGTATGTAAAATTCTCTCGACAGTTCGGTTCAGCAAATTTCTGCCTTTGTCGGCAAAGAGTTTTCGGGTCTCAATACAAGATGGTATTACGATTCTCCGAGACCCTTTTAGTTAAGGAACAAATGCCTTTCTGCCTGCCCTTTATATAGGCACAAAAGATGGCTAAAAGTACCCTCCCAATTAAAGCATCCATCAACCATGTTCCTACTAGTCTAGCAAGCGCCCAAGCCAGAGTCCAATCCAAGTTCAATGCAGATGGCATTAGGCATTGGTGCAGGAATGTAATCCTCTGATAAGGAAACAGTCTTTGTCAATTCCAAAAAAGAAGTGTCTTTTGTCAACTAATGTAAGTTTTCAGACCCCAAAAAAAGGGGTTTACTGTGGCAAAACCACCCGCTGGTCCCCTATTTTTTTTAATAAACAACTAGAGTGGGTTTGATATGTTTTACTTTCTAACGTGGCTCATAAAAAATGTCATGTATTTTTTATTTTTATAAGCCGAAGAAAAATTAAATACCATGTTTATCGTTAATTAGTTAAATCAATAAAATATGTTCAAGTATCATTCAGCCACATCACAAAGTATCACTACTTAAGTATTATCCTAAATTACATTAGGTTAGAGAATCTCTAATCATACTTTCTACCAAGTTAAATTTTAACTAAAAAGTTATTTTACGAGCTCTCTTAGAAACTTTTCACGCTAATCACATATTTCTAATTCGTGGAGTCGTAATGAGTGTGAACTAATAGTAGTAGACATTTTATTTTAAATTATTATCAATGCAATAGTAATTACTGCTAGGAGATTATTTCTCTCTCTTTATATTTAGGAGCTCTTAGAGGTGGTGTTATCTCTGAGCATAATAGAAAGTGTGATTGGGGTCTGAAGATGAATTTTTTCGACTTCTCCCTATACTTTAGCTAATCTCATTTACGGAGCACATAAAAGAAGATGTTCACATATGAGTAGTGAAAGTGTGAGAGTAGTCTAAATAAGGAATTTGTGATATCGAAGCCATATAATTTAGATGCTCCTCGTCTAAGAGTCCCATTCATGATGATATATCTTTGATTGTATGTCCACACCACGTTTTTCTTAACTCCCTAAGTATTAATAATATCATCTAAGTTTGTCTAGAATTAGCTCTGCCTTTTCTTAATCCAAATTAGATCTCAACGTATCTGGATTTGTTTGGCTTATGAAATGTGTCACTACGGTATTCTTTTGGATTATGAAGTGTGTTAATTCAGAGCTCTTTTGGTATACATGATTGAATTTAAATGGAATAAATAACTCTCAAATTAAAGGGGATTGAAATTAATAAGCACCGTTTTGCGTTGGCACACTAGTGTTCTTTAATTTGCTTCTTTTATTTGAATAATTTTTTTTTTAGTATTGATTCAATTTGATTCAATTTTGAAAACAGAACCATGTTTTTAGAAGTGGGATTGATGTGGCCTAAAAAACAGAAGCTAAATGAAGACCGAACTAAGTTGCTGGGAAGCTGCAACAACAAAGTCGTGAGCCCAAAATGCTAAGTTTATGCACATATTTTTGGTGTTGGTTATTCAACCCATTTTGTTGTCTCTGCATGGCCTAAATAATCAAGGGCCTAAGGTGGGTCCCAAAAATTGTGATCAAAGGTCCAATCACATTAAACGTTCATTGCTCTGTACTGTCATGCGGATCTCGATTATATTATATAAGATTATTGTTATATGTCATGTCATAACATGTGACGTATGTGCTTTGTCTATAATAATACCTTAATTCTACCATAGCTTATCCACCCAGGACATATATATTCTCTTTTTCTATACCAAAACATACGTTTCCCGTGAACCTATTCATGTTGCAACCCGATCCACCTTTTTAGCCATTGAAAGTAAGTTATTTCAGCTCCTCGTATTATCCATAGGATATAAGAAGGTTCCAATCTGTTTATTTACTTGCTAGAAACAAGTAATTTTTGCACACCTTTTTATCCAGCAAAAATAAAAGAGTCTTTACCCTCTATAAAATTAGAGTAAAAATCAATGGAGAGGGGGAGGGTTTCCTTCAGTTGCAAGCATAGAGAAGTACATCTTCTCCTAGCTGCATGAAATCTCTTTTTAACGGCTGCTGCAATCAATCCTTCGTGCAGCAGCTACAAGGCCAACCCCAAGCTTCTCACTCTCTTGCCTTCGAGTCTTTTCCTACCAAAACTATTGTAAAAATACCAAACACCCAAGCCTTAGCCACAAGCCTACCATATTCCTACACATGAAACCCAACCACTATGGCCAAACTCATCCACTACCAAATCACTTAGAATCCCTTATGCCAAACTTAAGCCTAGTTAACACCAACATTTTTAATAAAAATTTCAATGTGAAAGCACATTTTAAATGTAGTTTCAAACAAGCTTTTTCCACCAAATGACTCGAGAAATAGGTCACAATTGATTACCCAATTAAAAAGAATCCCACAGAGAAAACAAACCATTTCATATTTAATTTGTCCAAAAACTAAGTTCCCATACATGACTACTTAGTAGTATGGTTTAGTGGCACACCTCATTATTTCTAAATCAGATATCTTAAATTTGACTCTCATAAATGCGAGTTTGGCATTATCAACCAGCATGGTTTGCTGGTGGTGCTTAATTAACAATTCGAAACCTTGCTGCTGCTGCATAGATTAGCGACCAATGCCATGCCCTGCAACCTTATCTTCTCCGTAAAATTGATCGCAAAATTCAAGACCTATCTCCCAAACAACAGCACAATATTCTTAAAGAGTGATGTATCATATATACATCCTTCAATTAATTAATAATTCTCAAAATAAACATGCATAACTCAAAATTACAATTCCTCTGATTCTTAGACTCTATTAAGAATTTGGTTTGGACTAATTTGTCACCCATTTTCTGCTCGATTCTTGTAAAACAATAAGAACTCTTATACTGCCAAAATTCTTAAAATATATAGAATATCTTGAAAATAAACTTTATTAAATACACAAGCCATAATTACATCATGTTCCAATACAATCAAATAGAACGCATTTCGTGCCCTCATAGGCAACATGTAATCCCAGATATAAAAATCTTAAATAGTTAGTAAGCGCTATACTTCTGATTGCATCCGCTAGAAAATTTGACTCATGTAAATATGCTTTCAAGAAATAGCAGTGAAAGACTCCGCCAGCACATTAATATATATTAGAAGAATTAATCTGATATTAATTGGCTAGTTTCATTTTGTCAGGAAACCCTAATATTTTGTGAAATTAAGGTACAAAAGGATGCCGGTTTTGCCAAATTGTATTGGACAAAGGTTTACCCTAACCAACATGAACGGTTTTGCCAAATTGTATAGGACAAAGGTTTACCCTAACCAACATGAATTCGTACTAGTTGCGGTTTAGTATCCTTCAAGGATATTAATTAATCCAACATTTATAAATAGATTTAGTCTTCCATCCACAAACCCCCGACGCAAATACAGAAAGAAGATCAATCGTAGCCGAAACGTCATGGCACACCTTCACTTACCTGACCTCGTTACGCAAAAAATCATCCAAGTTCTTCCCACCAAAGCTGCCGTCCGTATGAGTTTTCTTTCCAAGCAATGGGAAGGTGTGTGGTGTTCGAGCTCCGTCTTAGATTTCGACGAGGAAAGCGTTGGTTTTCGTCGAGACAAGCACGGTGATAAACATAGAAAGTTCATCAACAACATCTTGATAAGGTATTTGAGATTTTGTGAGAATGATAAGCAAAAGAAGCTCAAGTTACTTAAACTGAGGCTTCATATGACGGGCTACTTGTTTAGAGAGGACACTAGCGTCGTTGATAAGTTATTAACTTGTTCGTTAGAGAGAAACGTCAAAGAGTTAGATATAAGCCTTCGAAGGGATTGGCATGTCAACGAAAACTACTACGGCTTATCTCGAACCACCTTTCTCGTTGCAAAATCTTTAACTACTCTCCGTCTGGCGTATGTGAAGATAAAGGACATACGCAGTGCCAACGATGGACGTCATATAGATCGTATAAGCCAGCTTCTTCCGTCCTTGAAAATAATGTCCCTCGAAAGAGTTCGGTTTGATGAGCGTGCCCTCAGTTCCTTAATTTGGGAGTGCCCTTGTATTGAATATTTGTCATTAACTTCATGTTCTTATGAAGACAATCAAGAAGACGAACTCTCCATGTTTTATATTTCAAGTTACAGTCTCAAATTCTTGGAAGTTAAGTATTGCAAGGCTCAAGATATTCAAGTTGACGAGACAATAAGTCTTGAATCTTTTACATTTGTTTCATCAAAGTTTCTTCACGTTGAGCGGATAATGTTGCGCGATTCTCATAACTTGAAACATATCAACATTCATGCTCATCACCTGAAAAACTTACGCTTACTTGCATCTCATCGTAGTTTGGAGGCCACGATCAATACTCCGAATCTAAATTCTATATATTTCCTTTGTGGTTACTTAACGTCCAAGATTTCTTTGAAAGCTCCAAATTTAGGGGAGGCCGCCATCTTACTGTTGGACTTCTGGGACATACAATTTCCGACTGCCTTCAACGGGCCATGGAAACATTTATCTGTACTGGCAGATTTTCTTACAGAATTTGGTTGCTCCAAGAGTCTAGACCTCATTGTCGCTGATTCGAAGAATGTCATCTTTCCAACAGAATTCAGAAACACCTGCTCTTCAGCAATATTGCCTGGTCTCAACAACAGTCTTGTGCTCAAGATGTCCAATTATCTTGAAACGGATTCAGATATTGGTGAACTGGAGGACTCTTTGACTTGGATAGCACCTTCTGCAAGGGATATTTCTGTTGAAAAAGTCATTGGAACGCTACTTTTTGAACTTTGAATAGATGGAAATTAAATGAGTTGTCCAAGCCAGCCCCAGACTTGTCTTGATTATTCCAAATTTAACGCTGTGCAGCTTCACCAATTGCACATTTATATATCATATATGCATCTTAACCACTTCGTTAATTAATTGCCTTCGTTTCATGAAAGATATGGGATTTGCAGTTATAAAAGCGATTCAATCTTTTGTATGTGATAATGAGGAAGAAATTCTAAATTATATTTTTTTGTAAATAAAAAGAAAGTTGACATGGAAGTATGTTATTAGTAAAATGCTCAGGTGTTTAAAGTCAAGGGGCTTTGACAAAAAAATTAAAAATAAAAAAATAAAAAAACTGAAAACAAGTGTTGTCGTCAAATATTAGGGATTGGATCCTAATTTTTTTCTTTTAATATTGTGGACTGTAAATGTTATCGTTAAATGTTAGGAGTATGTGGATGGAGATTCATACGCCAAATAAAAAAATATAATCAATTAATGTGAACAAGTGTTACTGGACCTACATCAATGTCTTATTTTCCCACCCACACAATAATCACACCCATCATAAAATGTTATTTTCCCACCCATTATTATTCCCAAACAACCTTAATATATTTTGGGTCAGCTTGGTCTGTCCTTGATGATACCCATCAGCTGATGGATAATATTCCTCAGGGGAAGGTTTCATTTTGCAATCGGGAGGCCAATAATGATGCACATCACTTGGCAAGGTATAGCTTGACCGTAATCAATTGTTTGATGTGGTTTGAGGAACCACCGGATTTGATTTTAGATTCTCCATTTGAGGATAGTAATTTCAGTTTGTAATCTGGTGCGGAACGCTCTTTTTCCCTTAGACCGAGGTTAAATTCCTGACAAGGTTTTTATCGAGGCTCTTAACATGCACCCCAGTCTTAGCATTGTACGTATCCTCTCATTATTGATGAATATCGTACTCTTCTTAAATAATTAACTCTAATATCTCTTTAAATAAATAAAAATTGAAAATAAAAGAAAATGCAAGACTTCGACATTCATTATTTCTTTCAAACCACGCATGTCCTTAAACTCATGACATCCCTTTCATAATATCTCTTCCTACTAACCCCAAATCTGCCACCCCAATTTTTTCTAGATCCCCACCCTCTATTTCACCGAATTCCATATCTATGGCCCAAATTAGAGACCTCGGATCCCAAACCACTCTTCTTCCTCCTTTTCTGTGAAAGTCGCAGACCTCACCCGAAGTCGCTTCTCCTCCGTCTAGCAAACACTTGTTCCTTCTTCAAACCTTTCTGTCGATTGTAGCCCAAATCTTTCCCAGCTTCTTTTTGCTGCACATATCAAATCCTACCCACCATTATTATTAAGAACATTTTTATTAAAAATAGTCGATGGGGAAATAAGACAACGGATGGTAATATTACCCCTCAGAAAGTAGACAGGCTTATTTACACTTCGTCCGTGCATTGATTTGACCGCAAGCCTTTGATTCAGTGAAGCCGAAAATATCCATTTCGACCTCCAATTTGCAATCCTTTTACGAAGCATACCCTCGCTTTCAAGTTTCATCCGTTAAGAAAGAAACCATTCACCGTTTCTACACGAATTTCCCGTTTCAGTTGGGTGCTTTGAAGAAAGAAACTGTTCACACTACAACACTACCAGGTATATATATAGTTCTTGAAATTTCAAATGTGTTTGCTTATTGGGCAAGCGTTACTTTGGTTCTTTGAATTTCCTTTTTTGGTCGAATGTTTCTTTCTCCATCATTATCTAATCTTAGACTGCTTTACAGGTTTTCTTGGGTTTTTTAAAGGGAAAATTAAGCAAAACCCCTCCAAAAACTTGAAAACAGCAATAAAAATCGAGGGCCTGAAGCAGAAACAACAAAAGAATCGAGGGCAATAAGTAGGATTTAAAAGCCCCCTCTTTTATGATGAAATTGGATTCTTGGGTTGATAAAAGGTTGATATATCTTTTGCTTTGTTGATTTTAGAAGTATGGAGGTTCTCCAAGCTTAGATATTTGGTTCGAAATGTTTGCAATTTTTGAATGGTCAATGAGTAGTTTCGATGGCATCTTGGTTTGGGTTTTTGAGTGCTTTAAACAACGTCTTGTTGTACAAGTAATCTTGTGCATTGTGAGATTTGTAGCTTTTATTGTTCGACCACAGCGAATGCGTGCATTTTTAATGATTACTCTTGTTTTAGGCTTTGGAGCATTTCATTCCATTGGGTTGGGAGTTGGAATGGGGATCATAGAGGCGGTTTAACATTTGGAATCATCGAAAATTACTGATTTGCTTAATAGTTGTCATTTTAAGGAAATTGCCCATGGAGTGCTCTTTCCAGACCAAGTTGCCCAAGTTCAACAGGGAGATAATCTTCGCTGTTCGTGATTTTCCCCTGGGGAGTGGACATTTTGCTCAGTTAAACTATTTGAGGCCTGCTCTGGTTACTTCTGTGAGTGTACCAACAGAAAGTTTGGCTAGTGGGGAAAAACATGGTGATGGGCATGCAGTTGAAAAAATGATGAGCTCAAGTGGTCAAGTGGATAAAACTGACTTGTCCAATAACAAGGATGTGGGTACTGCAGGGACAGTTGAATCAGTAACAGCCGTAGAACATGAAGTACCTGAATTCTCGAAGAACCTACATCAGTTAAACAACCTGAGACCTGTTGAAGAGGCAGCTTCTGTTGGTAATGCTGAGCATTTGATTACCCGGGATAATAATGGTGATGGAAAAGGGGTTGAAAATCTGACTGTTTCGACTGATCATGTGGATGAGACTGGCTTGACGAACAGTAAGGCTGTTGGTACCATGGAGATAAATGAATCTGTGACTGCCTTAAAGCGTGAAATACCCGATTTCCCGAAGAATCTGCATGAGCTAAACGATTTGAGACCTGTCAAAGAGGCAGCTTCTGTTGATACTGCTGAGAAGGTGGATCAGACTGTCCTGATGACTGGTATGGCTTCTGGTACTGTGGAGACAGATGATTTTTTAACTACTATGCCGAATGAAATACATAGTTTGTTGAAGAGCCCAGGTCAGCTTGGTGTGGCTACTCCAAAGGAAGATACAGAGACTGTTCTGTCCAATAGAAATCTTTGTTCGCCGCCTGATGGTTCCATTTCTGTTTCTAGTGGAAATGATCTTGAGATAACTGCAGCCAATGAATTTTCTCGAAAAGTAGTATCAGCTATACGCAACTTCCCTCATCTCTGTGGACCAAAAGCTGCTCTGAAGGTTTGGAATTTTGGTCAAGAAAGTTCACGACTTCCATCATCATCGAACTCAGTGAAGACTAATGTGAAATCAACAGGAGAGAAATGCTTAGATAAATCTTCTTCTCGTAAGCATTTGCATGAAAGATTTTGAAAGTTTAGAACTTCCGTCACACAGGACGATTGTGCTGGGATTGATGGCTGGTCCTAATTGTCCATGGAGGAACCGAAAAAGGGTCTTCAAGCAGCAAGAACATGATGTGAAGCAAACATGAGAGGAATGCATAGATAAATCACTTTCTCATAAACAATTGCATGAAGATTTTGAAAGTTCAGAAGTTCCGTCGAATAGGAGAAATGTGCTAGGATTGATGGCTGCTTCAAATTGTCCATGGAGGAAGGGAAAAGGGTCTCCAAGCAGCAAGCATATACCAGATGGTCGTATGAGTGACAAAAGCGAACGAAACTTGATTTTAGATGTCACCTAGAAAGATCTAACTGCATTCAGTACAGATAAGCTGGATAAATTTCAGAATCATTCATCAACAAATCGCAGTTAGTTTGTTTGTGTTCTTGTTTCGGCTTAGAAGTTTAACCCTCGTATTTTGGAGAGATTTGTCAGTGTGATCAGTTACACGGAGTGGTACACCACGGATCATTATATAAATGGTGAGATATGTGTTAAAAAATTAATAACTTAAAAAATAAATTTTTTCACCACTTACATAAAAACAAGTGGTGTACCATTCGTGTTCTTGTCACAATTAAAAATTTCTCCATATTTTGACAGCTGCCCTGTTTCCCAGAAAACTTGGAACAACGATTTATTCATGAAAACTTGGAACAACGATTTATTCGTGAATGACGATTAATTTTGAAGAGTAACCGTTTCTTTTTTCTTCGACAGTGAATTAATCCTACACCTCTGCATACAGCACTGCTATCTAGCATGAAATTGGCTCAATTTTGCACATATCGTCATTATACACATGCTTTCTTTTTCTTTTTTGAGTTTATTGCACTGATTCACAAGGCTTAAACCTGAATTCAGTAAACCAGGGTTACAGGTGTTCCTGCTGCTAAGGCTAGTGACGGTAGCTAAAGCTTGCCGAGCTTATGGACACACTTCACATGAGAAGCTAATAAGAAAATGTGTTAAAAGCACAAAAGAATACTAATGTAAATGAACTAAAGGACTTTTATTTCTTTCTTAGGTTGGTTTCTCCAGTTTGCTTGAGTATCCGGTTTTTCGATTCCCATTACATTGCATGACTGATGTTAAGAAGAAGCATTTGATGGGCACAAAAGGAGAAAATTAAAATGAAAAGACTTCATTCATGCTTCCCAACCCCTCAAGAGTGTAGCACGTGCGACTCGGTTCACCCCGAGAGTGAAAGCTCCCATTCGCAAGCTGCAGTCATGAGTTTGACACAATGCCTTGATGTCAAGGAAGGCCTTGTGCATGTACTTTTTAAGCTCACAGTTAACCTTGTCTTCTTCCCACATAAATCCTTGAATATTCTGCAGACAATAGACAGGAGGATTTCAAGCCATATTGATTTAGATAATAGGCATTTACAGCACACCGCAATTGCTTCTTTTTACCTGAACCCATTCGAAGTAGCTCACCGTCACACCGCCAGCATTTGCATATATGTCAGGGAGAATAACAACTCCCTTCTTGGACAAAATCTGCAGCAGAGGGATTTTATACCTAAGTAGGAGATTTCAGCAACCAGTATGCTTATTTAAGTTGAGAAAATGCAGTTGTCCTTGTTACCTCGTCTGCTTCGGGGTCAGTCGGATGATTTGCAGCTTCTATTATAAATTTTGCCTTCACATCAGCTGCATTTTCCCTTAAATATAAATTTGAATATATCAACATCAAACAGTAGGAAAGAAAGGGAAAACATATAAACAATTTTGACACAAAATTTCCGAGAAAGTCCGGTTATGATGTTCGTAATGAATAAAGAAGCAGGGTACATACTTGTTAATAACTCCTCCTAAGGCACATGGAATCAAAACATCACATTCATGAACAAGCAAATCATTTGGGTCCATAGCATCTCCACCTTGGAATTCCTTCAAACTTCTATTGCTATCTTTGTGCTTGAGAAGATCTGGGATATTGATTCCAGCAGGGTTTTTAATTGCACCTGTGATGTCACTAACAGCAATGACATGACCCCCTCTATCATGGATCAACTTGGCTGCCCATGAGCCCACATTTCCAAAACCCTAAAATGTATCAACAAAGTTAGAAGCCGAACACATATTCATGTCATCACGCATATGGCCTTGGAAAATAAAATTTTATCATTATTTAGGACATACCTGTATAACAAACTTCATACCAGAAATTGACTTTCCGTATTCACCAAGTAAAGACTCGGTTGCAAAAACCACCCCAAGTCCAGTCGCAGACTCCCTTCCAAGTGAACCCCCAAGATCCTGAATTGGAAACACAACGAATATAAGAAATAAAATTCTTTAGAATCATGATGATTTGATTCTATCCAGTTACCATAATTATAAACCGTCTGTGGATGTGCGGTACTTACAATCGGTTTTCCTGTCACAACTGCAGGTGAATGCCCATGAAACTTTGAGTACTCGTCAAGAATCCAAGCCATTGTCTGTACAATTTAAAAAACTAAGCACGTGTAGTTTACACCAAAGACAACAGTATATTTATTATTTTCGACCAACAAAGACTGTACTCTCAATTTACTTTGAAAGGAAACAGGATACCTGGGAATTAGTTCCCATGTCAGGAGCAGGAACATCCCTGTGAATTCCAATGAGATCATGGATCTTCTGAGTAAAAACACGAGTTAAACGTTCTAACTCACTGACGCTCAAGTCCCTCGGGTTGCAGCCAATCCCACCCTTAGCTCCACCATAAGGAATGTTTACTACAGCTGTCTTCCATGTCATTAGCTGGGCTAGAGCATTCACTTCATCTGGGTCAACCTTGCACCATTGAATATTTGCTACTTCAGTATTCGATGCATATTAAGATAGCTTAAATGCATAAATTACAAGAGGATTCACAGGTAGACCGTAAGAGTAGTCTATACGTGAAACCCAGTTAAGATTTATGTGAGGGAATTCTCATAAAACGTAATGCACAAGACAATCCTTATATATTCGAGAAACCTCTCGTATTATTTAAAGAGAGAGGATCATCGCTGGATCCTCTTTGTGAGGATCCCAAGGATCCTCCAATCACATCCGTTCATCATATATCATGCGGCCAGTTTTCATCAGGTACTGTTTATATTCAATTTTAAATAAAAAAATTTACAATGATTTCTAACCGCACAATGTAAGATGAACGGATGTGATTTGAGGATCCGGTGAGGATCCTCACAAAGAGGATCCGGTTAAAAACACAAGAATAAAGGAAACATGTAGCAAGGCATAGAACTGCTGCAGGACAAATGTAGTTCATTGAACGGTAATCTGTATGCATGAAGAATTAACTCTGCAGAAAAATCAATGGTAAATAATTCCACTGTGTTTTAAGGTCATTTGAATACTTTTCTGAAAATAAAACTGTTATGGTGCTCTACATTTGTGGGTTTGTGGTCATACATAGAAAACCATTAAACATATATTATGTTTTGAATTCTTATCGCAGTTACTGCTAACAGCAGTACCTTCTTTGTATGGTGCCCAAGTAGAATTTTATTAACATTGATAGAAGTAGTACTTGTTAAGGACATTTTTACATCTAATTACTCCATTGACTCGCTAGCAATATTGAACATACCAGTTACAAGTACTACGAACAACATGGGTTGCTATAACAAGTGGAACTCACCATGGAGCACAGTCTAGGTAATATATCCCGCACTTGCTATCTCAATCCAGTTTCCCCTTCCAATTGTTGCATAGTCCTAAAAGGTTCTATAAATTTATGGTGTGGGCCAACTCAAAGGGAAACAGATAATCTACGGTTACACAATACAACAATAAGTGTGCTGAAAAGGAAAATACATAACAGAAGAAACTTTACTTATCAACAAGACGACAACCAAAGACATCCAATGATCTCACAATCATGCGCAGATCACAATCGATGTTTGGGCTTTACATTATACATACAATCAATGCCGTTTCATAAGGCGTTTATAACCAGTCAATTATTGGACATAAAAACAATGCTAGGTAACACAATTGTCATTTCTCAAGCAGCATAAAGACATTTTCCTGAAATAGAAACCAATAGTAGTTTGGAGAACACACTATTCACTCGTTAGAAAAAGATCAATTTTGGCAAAAACCAATCAAACACAGACAGAAGTAGCATTACCCATGTATCTCCCCTTCACAGGTTTTCTAAATAATGAAGAAGGAATCTGATCTCATTTCTAAGAAAACCCTCTTTGTTAAATCAAATGTCTTGAAGCACACAGATATAATACTCATCATAAACAGAAACACGGGTTTGACAGACGAACTGTGAAATTGAGGCAAACTATGACAGTGGAACCGCGAATCCAATTTAAATTTTCCCCAATGATTGAGAGCATATAGCCATCAAAGTTATAAATATAACCAAAAGATCAAAACCAGATGAATGAATATAATCTACAATAAAAACCATAAATTGGAATCCTAACATCAACAGATTAAGTCCAACTTTTCGATTAGGCCAGAAACCAAAACCCCAAATCAACAAACTTGGAGGGATACGCACGGAAAATAACAACATTGACATAAAAAGAAAGAAGAAGGAAATATAAACCTCAGGATGATAACGGATTCCCCCTTTCATTGGGCCACGGGCATTGTCATGCTGGATTCTAAATCCAACATAGGATACCAGGGTGCCATCATCTTTCGGAATAGTACACTCAACCTGCAAATCAAACACCATAAAAATCCAAAAAATTATGAACAAAATAAGGGGAAAAAGAAAAAAGAACGAAGAATTTATGGAATGAGCAAGCAAATGGAAATTATTTACTTTGATTTCTCTGAAGGGAATCAAAAGGCTTTTCTCAAGCTTGGAATCCAGCCCAAGAATGCGAGCTGCATGTCGAAAGTTGCGGTTGGTGGCTGCAAGAGCATTCATGGCTGCCTCTCTCTGCCTCTGCTGAAATCAATGAAACAGTAAAACCCCAGAACCTAAAAGCAAGCAAGGACTGAGAACAACGGGACAAAGATGGTGAGATGGGTCAGTCAGATTCAGTCAAGAAAAAGTAGCTAGAAATTTATCGGAAAAGAAATGTAGGCGAAAAGTCTATCAATTTTTATGGAAATAAGTATATAAAAATAAATAAAATTGTCCTTTTTTATTTGACTTATGAGGCCCTCACACTACAGTGCATGAGATGGGTTAGTGTGACAGTGACAGCAAGGGTTGTTCAAAATTGACCACGGTTGTAACGAGCTTGTCTCAGTACCGCGTTTTAAAAATATTTTCTTTCGTTTGTAGGTAAAAGATTTTAAGTTCGATTCTCTTCGAAAGTAAATTTGAATTACATTTTTATTAACTTTAATATAAATAATATTGTTTGCTAAAAAAATACATATATTTAAAATAAAGATATACATGGTAAAATATTTAAGAAGAATATTCTGAAGCACCGAGAAATTTTTTATGAACCTGAAAAGGTGGAAATCCATGATTATGGTGCTTAATTAAAATGAACTAGATTAGTAGACAAATAAATGGGAGTCAACAATGGGCAGTGAGTGAGTAAATCCTTTTACTTTAATTAATCAAGATGCAGAAAGAATAAGAGGGTCTGCATTTTACAACTAAAGGCTTATAAGAGCATCTAAATGGAGAATTGCAAATTTTGAGTTGTAAAACTCATATTTATGTCCCACTTTATATTTTATTTTCGTAAAGATGTAAATATAAGTTCTACCCTAATGAGAAAGATATAAATTTGGGATATTATTTATTTTTCTATCTTCGACTAGCCGAATTCACCTCCAACAGATGTAAACGAAAAGGATGCAAATATACATTTTTGTTTACATATTCTGGAGAAGTTGAATAATTTACATTCCACCATTAAAGAATTCTCTAGATAATTTACTCATCATCATTATCAAATACAGATATGTAGATGAAGGTCATCTGCCAAGTCATAAAAACAAATTTTTTAATTTTATTACTCAAACAAAACCAAGTGAGCATTTGCAAGATGCTTAATTTACAAAATGACTTTCCTGGAGATCACATATGTTAGAAAGCTTTCTAGAGGTATGTTCTGTTGCCGTGAGTGGTATTAAAAAAGGGCATGTAAATATATTGTAAATATTAAAATCCTTTATTAGGAAGGATATGTGTGTGTCCTTTATTGTTTCCTTATAGAATAAGAATTGTATCTTGTATATATTGTCTATTATGCAATACAATGAAAATTAAGCCGTAAATTTAATTTGGCATCAGAGCCAAGCATAACCCTAAAAAGTTCCCACCGTGCCGCTGCTATCGTAAAAGCAGGAAAAACCCTCGCTCGTATATGATCTATGTTGCATCTCTGCAACAAGTCCAGACTGCCGATTTTGCTGTCGTAAGAAACAAGGACCACAACAGACTTCAGTGTTTGTCGCTGCATCCCTGCAGCAAAACTGCGTGCTTGCTGCTCCATACCGTGTGTGTGGTATGTATTGTGATTAATGGCGAGTGACAAAGAAGAGACTGTGCTGAAATTAGAGGGTAGGGCATTTGGCTCTACCCACGAGTCAGTTGTCAATCATGTGGTTATTCAAAGTGATGCTTCAAACGTACCAAATACTATAAAACTCAATGGATCAAATTACCCTCTTTGGTCCAAAGTATTAGAGATGCATATTGATGGGCGTGAAAAGAAAGGGTTCGTGACAGAGAGTATTAAGGAGCCCAATGAAGGCAGTGCCGAATATGATGCTTGGGAGACTGGGAATGCAATTGTGAAATGATGGTTGATTAACTCCATGGATCCTACTATCGCGGGTTTTTTCATTCATCTTCGTACTGCTAAAGAAGTATGGGAAAAAGTTACCAGGACGTATTATGATAGGTTGGATATCTCTCAGATTTATGAATTGAAGTTGAAGTCATTCCAACTTTGCCAAGAAGGGTGGCCTATTGGTGTATACCATGTCGACCTTAAAGCTGTCTGGCAAGAACTCGATCAGAGAAAACCAACGAAGATGGAGTGTGCTCTTGACTTGAAAACACTTCGGGAAGAAGTTCAACTAGACCGTGTGTATGCTATTTTAGCGGGCCTTGATGATATTTGACAAGGTCCATAGTGATATTCTGAGAACTCAACCTCTACTATCTGTGATGGAAGTGTTTTCAGTAGTTAAGCAGGAAGCTCAACGCTATGCTACTATAATGGGAGGTAGTACCGCTGGGAACCAAGGAGCCCGCCCCCCTTCCCCGGCGGGTGGCTATGGTGTCACTGCCTCCTTCTTCTGGCCAGCCCTATGGCCCATCTCCATCAACCAATTCTTGCCCTTTCACTCAAGAGAATAAAGATGATTTGAAATGTACTTGTTGTGGGCAAACCCGTCATACGAAAGATACATGTTTTAAAAAACATGGAGTACCTGAATGGTTTCTGAAATTGAAAAAGAAATTGCGTGCTAAAGAACGTGTTTCTAGCGGGGCTAGTGGAAGGCGTCCATCTATGGCTGCCACAACAACTAGAAACAAAATGTTGTGCCTACTTAGGGGAATCCAAGTCAAGCCTTGTTGACCCGACTCAATCCCATTGAGTCTTCGTCCAATACAGGTACTAATGGGCGTGTTCTTTTAACCTTTGGTACTGAACACCATATAGGTTGAGTCCTAGACTCTAGAGCAACTAATCATGTGACGTTTGATAAAAGGTTATTTAAGTATATGACAACGACACATCAAAAGTGTGTTGCCATAGCAAATGGCACCACTGCCATGGTGACTGGGGCCGGCACAATGGACCTCATGCCATCTCTTTTTCTCCACCACTGTTTGTTTGTTCCATCGTTGTCTCACTATTTATTATCTATTCCCCAAGTTATTAAGCAATTGGATTGTGTTGTACTTATGTATCCATTTTTTTGTTTGCTTCAGGATATTCAAACCAATGAGATAATTGGGCGTGGCACTAATAGAGAGGGCTTGTACTATGTGGATGACGTCGTTCCTGGTAGAGCTAATGCAGTTCGAGCATCCCGTACTAGTAATCTGCAAGAAGTTTTGTTGTTACATCATCGGTTAGGACATGTTTCTTTTGGTTATTTAAGGCGTATGTTGCCTAGTATGTTTCATGAAATAAAAGAATCAAACTTACATTGTGAAGTATGTATTCTTGCTAAGAGCCATCGTGCTTCGTTTCCTTCTAGTATGAATAAAAGATTGCTTCCGTTTAAGCTTGTGCATTCAGATGTTTAGGGGCCTTCACCCGTTAATACAATTGCAGGAGTTAAGTGATTTGTTACGTTTGTTGATGATTGCACTCGTATGACATGGGAGTATTTGTTGAAATATAAAAGTGATGTAAGTACAATTATTCGGTCTTTTTCTCAGATGGTGGCTATTTAATATTCCTCTATTATTAAAGTTCTTCGTACTGATAATAGGGAGAATATATTAACTCTAAGTTTTCTAATTTTTTTTCATGATCAAGGAATTTGCCATGAGACAACTTGTTCGTACACCACACGACAAAACAGGGTTGCGAGGAAAAACCGTCATATTTTGGAAACTGCTCATACACTGCTTATTGGTGGGTCTGTTCCCTAGATGGCATCACTTATACCGTGTATGTTATCAATCGCATACCATCCCAGGTTGTAGAATTTCGTACTCCACTCCAAGTGTTGACGGAGCATGTTCTAGTTGTTTGTACCAATACTCTCACTCCTCGAGTGTTTGGCTGCGTGGTTTATGTTCATATTGACAAGATTCATCAGTAGTAAATTGGATCTTTGTGCTCTTCAGTGTGTCTTTGTGGGTTTTGCATCCCACTAGAAAGGTTACAAGTGTTACCACTCTACCACTCGCCACATGTATATCACCATGGATATGACCTTTTTCTGAGTTTGAATATTTTTGTACTCCCATATCACCACTTTGGATCACAATGGGGAGAGTTCTAGCTGTGATCTTGATGGTGTTCTTGAATGGTTGGATGTACAAGAGGAAAAGTCTTCAGGAAGAGTTCACGGTGTACCGAGTGATGCAAGGTGATGATGCTTGGTCTCCTCCTGCCGAGCCTACTGTTGGGAATAGACAGCAGGTTCTCACTGAACCTGCTCCAAGTATCCCGCAGCTTCTCATCAAAGAAGAAACTGCTAGTCCATGTGTTGGTGCTGCCGAAGAGGACTGCACTGGTGATCAGCCAACTATTGTCGAAGCTTCCCCCCTCTCTGTAGCTCAACAGTGCTGTTGTCCAATGCATCTTCTCTAGATATCCCTGAGGTAAGCACTAGTGATACTTATGTAACTAATGATGTTATAAGTACATATAAATTGCAACCAAGGCAAAATTATGGTGTACCTTCTGACAGGTTCTCTCCAGAAGGAAAAGTGAAGTATCCCATAACCAATTATGTGTCCTATAAAAATCTTTCATCCGAATGTCAAGCGTGGGTAAATAATGTGAATTCAATTCAGGTACCAACCCAGGTAGCAGACGCTTTGAAAAGTCGAGAATGGACTGAAGCAATGGATGAAGAGATGAGGGCATTGCAAAAAAAATAATACTTGGGAAGTAGTTGAGCTACCAAAGGGAAAGAAACCAGGTGGGTGCTAATTGGTTTTTACTGTTAAATACAAGGCTGATGGATCACTTGACAAGTATAAAGCAAGGTTAGTGGCGAAAAGGTATACTCAAATGTATGGAGTTGATTACCAGGAAACTTTATCTCCCGTGGCTAAGATGAATACGGTACGAGTCTTTATCTCAATAGCTGCAAATTTGAATTGGACACTGAAACATTTTGATGTAAAAAATACGTTTCTTCATGGACATCTGGAAAAAGAAGTGTATATGGATTTTCCTCCAGGGTATAGCAACGGAGGAAAAATGGGAGTGTGCCGATTGCGGAAGTCTCTTTAGGGCTCAAGCAGTCACCACGTGCATGGTTTGGGAGGTTCACTCAGGCTATGAGAAAGAATGGGTATTATCAGAGTCATTCTGATCATACTTTA